AGAAGGATAAAATTCCTATGAAAGTGAGACCCTCGTCAAAGGTGAAAACTCCGATAAAAGGAGAGGGTAAAGACTAAGCCTCTGAAACTCATTAAAAGACAACTTTGAGGAAGTCTATAATTTGATTGGTTAATCTTTGACGTGCAGCTCAAAAGTAAAAGATGTTATCATTAAGTTAAGTGTTCTAAGAAAAAAGTAAGTGCAATAAAAAATCTCCTTTACACGTAAAAATTTTATTTGAAAAATAAAAAAGTAGGAAAAAACCTTGCTTCAGCTTGAATTATCATGACAACTTATATAAATTTTAAATCAAATTTTGAACTGAAATTATATGTATTGTTATATTAAAAACTTTTGTTACATAACTTAGGTGATTGTAATTTATTTCATACAATTTTATTAATTTACCAATTTTTTGATTCATTAAAGCTTTATAAATTTTTTTTTTCAAATAAGTTTTATTGAAAAGTTAATTTACAGATTTATAAAGATCTTGAAATACAGTAGCATGCGAATTCACCAAAATTTCTTTAGAACAAAATTGTTTTCTACATTAAATAGAATAAACTATATGGCACGAGTGGTTCAAGTTCATCAAATCATTTTTTCAATCCTTTAATTATTATGCTGGATATAATAGTTGTTTTTCCAATAATGATTTCGAAAATTCAAAATTGTAAATTTTTTCTTAAACAAAAATAAAAATTTAAATTAAATACAAAGTTTGATAGATCTTATCAAAAGCGATTTAAATATATATCTTTTTGAAATTAAACTTTTTAAGCTTTTGTAATTTTAAATTTAAAAAAAATATTTGAAATGATCAGACCACTCATACCACAAATTGTAAGAAAAGATAATGAGTCAAATAAAATGTACTGTAATAATTTATAGGCTAATGTTGCGCTTTTTAAGTTCTTCCAATGCTTTAGGTTGACCCTTCACAGCAGCCATCTTTAAATACCGTATTCCTTTTTCTTCGTCCTTTTTAATACCAAGTTTTCCATTTAGGAATAAATCACCATAGTTAAATAAAGCCGAAGGATTGCCATTAATAACAGCTTTATTCAAGTATGACAGGAACTCTTTGACATTATTAGCTTCCAACATCGCAAATGCATAATGAAGTTGAGCATCTGGAACGTTCTCATCAGCAGCTTCCTTAAAAAGTCTTACTGCTTCTACTGGATCTTTCACTCCTTTATGATAACCTTCTTTTAAATAATAACCTTTCCAATACTTAGCAACAGGATCACCAAGTTCAGCATGAATTTCAAAGCATTCCCATGCCTTATGTCTCTGTGATTTATTCCTGTGCGCTCTAAGGCCATCTTCTAATGGAGGAATAAGAGGTGGAATTTCATTACTCACGTACAAACCATCCTCATCATCGCTCGTTTCTTCAGATGTAGGAATATTTTCATCAGTATTGTAGTTAGAATCCTCTATACTGTCAATTAATTTATTTAGTTGGTAAAGTTCGGTATTGAAAACATTAATACTTGGTCGTTCAGATGCTTCATGCGCCCAAGCTAGTATGATTAATAATTTATATGATGTTAGTCGTAAAATAAACAAACAATTTAGCAAAGATAGGATTCAGAAAATTAATACTTACCTGCTCGAATTATTTTTGTATATCCGTTGATAATATCTTTATGGCCTGCGTGTTTTCCGGTAAAATGAAGACGTTCTCTTTTACCAGACTTGACATGCTCACATATATCCATTGTTTCCATATTTTTATATGGTATTTGTTGGAAAGCAAGTTCCCATAAAAGCATACCATAACTATTTTAAATAAATTATTATTAAGTAATTTACATAATGACTTCAAATTAAGTAATAAATTGTCACTTACCTAAATACTTCACATTTAAATGTATAAGGATTTTCTTTTTTATTTGTATTATTCGTACTAGGATCAGAACCCATTTTTTCAGGTGCTAACCAAGGAATTATCTCACTAATGCTTACAATTTTAATACTATTTTCATTTCTTTGTCTACTAAGATCAAAATTTGCAAGCTTTGCATTGTAAACGTTATTACCTGTAATCTATACATATTAGCATACAGTTGGATATATCAGAAACTTGATATGTTCATTAAACAACACACATTTATTTTATTTTAAGTTATAGCATACCATTATATTCTCACATCGTACATCATGGTGATAAATATCACACCCCTGCAAAAAAACAAGACCACAGCAAATGTCATGAGAAATCTTAATCTTATCTTTCCATGAAATATCTGCTTTTTCATAGAGTTCCCTTAAATTCCCATGTTTGGCCCATTCAAATACGATAAGATATTCACCGTTCTCATATTTTGAAAATCCATAAAATTTGATTATTTTATCAGATTGTTGCAATCTATTTAAAATTGCAAAACGATTTTTGGTCATTTTCCATTTTTCATCATCATTAGGAATGCTGATTCGTTTGCATGCAACTTCTATTCCACCATAAAAACGTTTAAATATTTTTCTGTTTTCTGATAATGATGTTCGGTCGTTATCTTCTCTTAATCTATTCATTTCAATTTGCGGTGCAACTAATGAAATTTCTCTTTTGTACATTTTCTTTTTAATTTCAATAACTTCCTCAAAAATTATGTTAAGTGCTATCTTAATTTCATCATTTTGATCTTTTACGGTTTCAAGTACTTCAGTATTTTCTTTAAGCTGATTTTTCGTATCTATGACACCACCCTCGATTGTTTTAAGAAACTATCGTCCAATATTTATTAAATAAGTATTATAAATTTAACTGCTAAATTTAACTGTTAAATCGTTGAAAAAAAAATATATATTCCGCAAGCTTTATACGCACCTCAGTCATATTATTTACATCATCTGATAAACTTTTTTGTTCAAGGGCTCTATCCTCCATCGAAACAATAATACCAAATTGTAATTCATTACATGTTACTTCTAATTCTTCTATTAATAAAAGGCATTTTGATTTTATATCTTTGGCATAAAAAAATTTTGAAAGACCTTTAAGTTGTGAAACATTATTAACAAATTCTTTAATATTTTTTAAAATTCTGTGAAGTTTTATAAATGTTTTTATATAATCTTGACTATGAAATTTTTCTTCTTCTTCTTCTTTTCTACGATTTAATTTTCTAACAGCTGTAGCAACATTATCCACACGATCTACTAGGACACGACATGTTTTTCTATTATATTCTGCTGCATCATAAATACCATAAATTTCATCAATTACTTTATTTACTGCATCGAACCAAGGAAGAAAAGCTGCGAACGCACTAACAGCGCTTAATGCTTGGTTCACTGCTATTCCTGTCCCACCAATCCCACTCTCATCTGACATAATATGCTAAAAATTTTTAGACTTTTTTAACCTCCCCAAAAAAAATTAAGCTAATAAATAATTTTTTTTTTTTTTTTTAAAGTTTGTGGAGGAAACACTGGTGAACCCGGTGAATAATCGCACAAATTTTTGGTTTTGTTCCGATATGCATTGCCTACGTAATCTGTCACATGCCGCTTCCATATATTCCTAAATATTCCGGTACTTATCTGCGCCATACATTAAAATAAAAGTTAATTAGTATGTGATTTGCGGATATGTAAATATTTGTATGACTTTTTTTTTTGTCCTCAACATACCGATTACGTACGTATAGTACGTACGTGAATATTTGTTTATTATCTCTGGAGAAATGTCTTCAAACAGGATAGTTACGATTGGTATTGGGTAAAATTGCTTTTTTTATTCTTTTCATGTAAGAGTTTACCCAATAATACGTATCTTAATTATTTATAATAGTGGTGCGTCATGTTCTGGTAAAACGGTATGTACTAAAAAATACATCCAAATTCAGAGAAGGTTAAAGACTACTTGCGTGATTTTGTTATATTAAAAAAAAAAAAAATACGAAGAGAAGATTAAAGTGATTGCTTGTGTGATTTCGTTATAAATTTTTTTTTTTTTAAAAAAAAGACCTTGGCTAAATGGCTTTTAAAAGTTTTACCGAATTGTACTTTATTTTTTCAAGATGAATTTTTTAAGGTATTTTAAGCATTTTGAAATTCTGGTTCATTTTTTATTTATTTATTATATAATTTTGTTCTAATTTATTTGACTTTGTAAATAGCTCGAAAATGATCTTCCAATTGATCCAACAACCAAGTATACAAATTGGGATTGTCCTGAAGCAATAAATTTTCCATTATTCTTATCAACTCTAAAGGACCTTCATCAAACCGGCTCATTGCCAACAACTTTTGTATCTAATGAAATAAATAATGTTCATAGTGACGTTAAAGGGTGTGGATTATATGAGTTGGTTAGACGATTGTCCTTGCGAGTTAATGAGGTATTAGATGCATTGGCAGGAGACGATGATAAAAATAATGAATGGTATTTCGTATTGGTAGACGGGTTTTTACTATACTATGACCCTGAGGTTATAAAAGAATTAGATGTTAAATTGTTTGTTAGGGCAGATCGTGATACCTTAAAGCAACGAAGAGAGGAACGGGCTGGATATATTACAGTTGAAGGTATTTTTTTTATATTTATTTTCTTATTATGATTTTTTTTTCAGACTTTAATCTTGCATTACTGATTTAAATTTATTTTCTTTTAAACAAGGATACGCTGTAGACCCTCCCGATTATTTTGATAAAATAGTTTGGCCGAATTATGTTGAATTTCACAAAAATTTGTCTATAAAAGAACTATCATCAGGTGTTATAGATGGTGTGAAAAGTGGACATACGGCTATTGAAGATCTTGTGGTTTTAGATACAAATAATGAAGAAAATTTTGGTGAAAATCTTGAAGAAGCTGTTGAAACTGTGATAAGATTTATTGAAAGAAGGTTTGCATTGCACAACTGCAGTTGCTGTGAGCTATAATATATCTATATTATAATCACAGAGCTAATGATTTATATAACTTAAAACTTTTAATGTTTCCTTTTTTTTTTTTGAAAATTATTAATCATTTCAACGTGATGCATTCCATCTTTAATTAGATTATAACAAAAAAAGTATTTTTAAAAAACAGTAGCCAAGTTAAAGATAGGTTAGGATAATACGATAATTAAAATACTTCCTAACTCAGAATTTCGCAAGAAACTTTGTTGTTAGGACGGAACGAGTAGTTGCGTAGACAAAAATTCTGGGTAAGCGATTTTAAAAAATTTTTAATCGCTTCTAATTTCACATTTAGTTAGCCAGGGGTAGCACTGGCGAATAATTACAAATTTCTTTTATTTATTGTATTAAAAATAAAAAGTAAAATATAGTCATACCTGAGTTGTACCCACTGGGTTATATCCCAACTTGAGTTATATCCCCATATTTAAGCAAAAATAAATTTCCTTTTTTTATGTTTTATATGTTTTATATTAGTTATATCCCTGCCTTAGTTATATCTTTAAAAATGCTCTGGAAAAAAGGGGATATAACCCAGGTATGACTATATTAAGGTTAGGTGAAGGAATTCAAGTGTTCATGACATTTATTTTTATTTATTATTAAGATAGTAAAGATAATAAAGATACGATTTTTCGTGCTTATCTTTTTCTTGAAAGTTACAATTTTGGTTAAATGCTGCAGATTTGATTTTGCATTATCAAGATTAACAAATAAGTGACGCATTTCGAAAAAAGTAGGATTTTTTTAATACGTAGCGTTTTTATTGTGTTGAATTATAAATCGGAAAAATAAAATAAGATTCTCTGATTTTAATTTTGAAACCCCCTATTGTATAGTTCTTATGATATGAATGTCAAACCTTTTTTCATATTGTACAGTATAAAATTACAGCTGTTTTCATAAATTGCGGGAAAACATTCGGCCGAATTCGATAAATTTTTGAATTGCGTTATCGGAATTACTGTAATGCCGAAAATCCAATGTCGATAATACTGTAATACCGAATTCAAAAACTTATCGAATTCGACAGAAATAATGCATATCAGTTGTCCCAGAATTTATGAGAACAGCTGTAATATAAAAACTTTTCATTAGACAATTATCATCCATCTGGTTTCATACTATGATGTAGCTTATTTATTCTATCGGGATGTACGGTACGTACTTTTTTGTTTTTCCGGATATACAGTACCCAGAATGCCATATGATATACTTTATGTTGGGGGTGTGCGGCGTACTATGTAAATCGAAACTATATGTGGTTATATAATAAAATTTATTAATGAAGATTTTTCGATAGTAGATTTCTGCATTTTAAAATTCTCTAGATAGGACGAAGCACTTGAAAGTTTTTTTACGATTGGATAAGTCGAAACACTTACTGAAGTTCCTTTGTATTTTAAAACTCTGGATATTTTGTTTTGTAATAAAAACTTTTACACTGGGGGGGGGGGTTTCAGAATTAACGTGCGGGAATCTAATTTGGACAGAAATAAATAACATTCGTTTTCAATTCATTTCAAATCAATTTGAAATGATCTTTGTCGTTGAAAAGTTTTAAACGGGAGCCTCTAAAACACTTCAATTTCATTTTCTGATTTCAAAATTTTGATACACAAATAAAATTTTTTTAAACCCCACTTATTTTCGAAATACTGTACACTATTTTTTTTTTTTTTTTTTTATTTAAATCCCCTGCGACTGCTTGTTCACATGACCCGATTTTTATGCTTATTGCCCGCTTTGCGGCAATAACATATTGTATCGTCCGTATGGTAAAGAAATAGTAAAAAGCAAAAGTATAACAGAAATTGATGACGAACATAAAATATTTATTATAAGAATTCTGCTGATATGATGAATTATTTATTGTTGGATCTTCTTATAAAAAAGAAATTGGTGTTGAAAAGGATGAACATAAAGCATTTATTTATTGTTACGGCTGATGCTGAAGTTTGGCTGATGTTGAAGCTAAAAAATCTGATTGGCTAAATTTTGCAGAT